TTGATGAACCCAAAAAAAAAAAAAAATTTTGATGGGAAATTATACCCAGCTTGGTGCATTATCAACTGAAGCAGAAGGGCCATCCCATCCTATATGAGCCACATGTTTTACATCTGTGGGATTCCCAATTTGCATTTCTGCTTCCTTTTCCTCCTCTGCATTATACAAATGGGAATTAAATTGTACATATAATAGGATCCCAACTCACGAAAAGAGAATATATCAAATAGAATATAGATACTCACCGAATATCTGAGAAATGTATCGAAGACCTTTCAAAAGACCCTTCATCTTCGTCCCCATTTTTTATTATCTCCTTCTAATTCACGAAACATGCATGGATTGATCATGGATGAAATGAAATTAGGAAGCCATGACAAAACCAACCCTTTCGAAGAAAAATGAGTGCCATCCCATGGATTTATTTGCGCAAAGAAAATCTTGCACCAAGCCTTATTATATGAAGCACAAGAGAGACTCAAAATAATTATAATATTGCATTTTTATTTTATTTTTTTACATATATAAACCTCCTTTTTGGGTTGCTTATTTTTGTATTTGTATATCCAACTGATGAGAAAAAAAAAAAGATACAAATATCCCAACCAAATTGTTGTGAAAACAAAACCTTTCAATTCAATGGCATTGCTTTGTTGGTACCTAATGGCTGTTGCCTGTTAATGAAAACCAGAAGCACGGAGAAAATTTAGGTGTGAGATAAATGTCGTCATTTTAATAGAAATATGGTTCTAAAAAATAATAACGAAACCCCAAGTTCTTATTTAGGATAAAACCACTCGTACATCCTCTTGTGTACATTATGGTTTACATTCAATCGAGTTTCAAATTGAAAAGGACGGGAATATGCATTTCCTTTAAAAACTGTCCAACGATGTCTGGACACGTGACACAATGTTAAATTTCTTGTCAAAAAAGATGTACATGTTACATGATTCTATTATTTACTTGGAAAAGTTGTTAAAAAATGAGGGTTTCTCGAAAGCATAGTTTACTCTTATACCAATTCAATTCCTATCCATTTTTATTTTAAAACTTGTTTACTTAAAAGTAAAACTCAAAATGCTATCTTATCCGGCATGTTTGGTTAAACAAATATCACAAAGTCGAGATCATAGTTTCCACAATAAATTTAACAAACTCTCGGTTTGAACTTTCCTTCCCAACCAAGCTCATGGCTAGAGCTTCCTCAAACAGAAAACCTTGTACTGTAAATTCCCATATCGTAAAACAGGTACGCAGTACACTATTACATATGGCATGGCGTGGATCTTAGTATAACGAAGTCCAAGAACTATTGTCGAAACATTATAAAACGAACATTTATGATGCTTTAAGATCATCCATTCCAACACTAGCCTGACAGGAGAAAACAGCAAATCACCACACTTGTAAAAATACCTTTATTATTATATAATAGAAACTTAGGATTCTACTAGCTAGAGATCTTACCAAAAACTTGTGGTTCTCCTCGAGAAATGGTGAGAAAGTCGTACAAAAATTTTCGATGTCACTATTAATATCACCTGTGCCACCTATGACATCCATAAATTTCTTCCTATCAGGAGCAAGTTTCATGGCAACCTGTAATTGCAAATTTGGGATAAACATTTGAGAAGATATATGGAACTTAAAACCAAGAATCTAATAGCTTGTTTCATATTAAACATTATGCTAATATATAAAGATTAAAGTGTGTGTATTAACATTCTAACTTCTGTTTCTGTGATATGCCTTCAAGAGAAGCTAAAATTTGGCGACTACTTTTCCTTTGGGTGCAGGATGGGGGTGAAATATGTTGTGAATACTTGCTATATGAAAATTTCAACTGAGGGGAAAGATGATAACACTATATGCCGAGAGAAAATATGAATAACACTGATGAAAACCGTGAATAATAAAAAAATCCTGCTCTTTGCTCTATGAGCTTCGGAACTGGCACATAGAACATTGGAGGCCCTAGGCCTTTTATGTCTGTTTCAATCTATACAGCTGTTTAGAATTTATAATTATCAAGTTCCATCTGTTATAGGCTTGTTGGATGGAGTTCTGATGCTGCGGCAAACTAACTATTGAGTATTCAATGTCAAAACATCTATTGCATAAATGATGATATCCATTAATTACGAGTACTAATTTAAGTGGCCACCATAAAATAAATCACGAAGTGACTTGTAAAAAAAAACCCTAAGGTTATACATTAAAATTTAAAAATATAAAAGCATTTACCGTAAAGCTTGAACTGGCCAGCCAACCATGCCATTTTTTCAGTGTCTTGCCATAAGAATCACTGCAAACTTGAGACATGGACCAATCCTGATGTTCCAATATATTCCGAAACAAACCCACCAAGAAATCCATGGCCCTAAGGAGTTTATGCACGAGTTAATTTAAGTCATACAAGAGTAGTATCTTTCTTCAGAAACATACGTGCTCATGCTTGTAAATATTCACAATGTTTGTGAATGTATAACATCTATCCACTTTATTATGCACACACATGTTATAGTTGGAGTTTTGGAGTTACTCAAGTTGTCAAGCCTCGTCAAAAATTTATTTTCCTGATTTTCCCTCTGAACACTTCAAATTACTCAAGTTAGTCATCCAATAAGGAACGTTTCTCATTTGTAAAGTGGTTCGGGGAATCACCAATGGGATGCAGGTATTGATTTATCCATTAAGGTACTTTCCATGTGGCTATGGAAGAGGTGAACCTCAATATTTTCATTTTTCATGTATTGAGTGAATGGCAGCTAGTAGGCATTCCCCATTATACAGGTGAATAGTAGAACAGAAATCAACCACAAAACTAATAAAAAGCTATACCTGGCAGTGAATAGAAGATGCTGTAAATTTATGCTTACCTTGTCAACCACAAAAGACCATTGGTGCAACTGGACGAGCCTTTAGCTGTCTTAGCTTCAACCTCTTCTTGTACCATGGTGTACAAGTGGTTATATTGTGTAGGGTTGGACAAGTACTTGTTTTCTAACCTCTACAATACATATGAGCAGATATAAGTTGGTTAAAGAATATACTCAAGAAATATTTAGAGAGAAAAGAATGGGTTAACAAAAAGTTGACACAAACATTGGATTGTTAATTTCAGTGAAAGAAGTCAAAGAACTAATACACTATTTCAAGGAAGATATCACCAAGATAGATAAATTCATATGCATAAAGAAGACTAAACCACATTCAGGCTGCTACACATGAGCAGCCTAGCCTATCCTAGAGGCTAGAGCAGCCTCTAATAACTGATACTTCGACCCCAAGCATTTCTAACTAGGGTACGCAACAAGTTTAGCAGGAAATCAACCAAATCCCCACATTTGGAAGAGGTTTATCTAAATAACATTCAATTCAAAAAATTATTACACACTCGCACATGAACATATTTATCAATTGGCAAGCTAAAGAAACAAAAAGGACAAGCTCTATTTTCTGTAAGTGTGAAGGGAAAGAGTCTCACGGTTATATTGCCACCAATATCAGATTTGACAAGTGCCATCGCAGCTCCAAACTTGTCTGCATGGTGTGCATGATAAAAATGAGCCAAACAACATAACGCTGGCCAGAAGGACCGTGACTATACATTTCAAATGGAAGTGGTATTATAATAACACTCAAACTAAGAAAATTACAAAGACGTCTGAGATAGACAAAAGACTGAAAATAGCACCTTTAGGTAGTATAAACAAAATAACATCCATCCATTCACCAAAACAGTTATTTTTTATTTAAATTTTTAAAAGAGGTTGCAGTTGAGAGACATTATGGGAGATTATAACAAATGGAATCTTCAAACATGTAAAATCTCACACCATAACCTCTAGGCTTTTAACCAGGTTGGAGTAGAGAATGCAAACTTTCTCGTACCGTTTACCAATCATGGAATGGCAGTCAGTGTATTCAAGCAGGTACTTTGACACTTACATAAACTCCAAATAAGAAATGCATTCTGATAAAAGAATGTACATCCTATACCTATAACAGGTAAAATTTGCTTGCAAGCATCCAGGAAAGGTTTGGTGAGAATCACTCCCTCTTCCGACTTGACGTGCTTCATTCCTTCAAGAGCCGGGGTGAAGACCGTCCCCTCCATTTTCTCACTTAACTACATTAACATAATTTTTGAAAAAATAAAAATCAATGCTTGCAGAAGTAATAAATGTTGGGACCACGTAACCTTCCAGTATTAGTCACATGGTGTTTATATAATGCCAAACCTTAGAATTATAAAGCAAAATATCAGTCTAAAATATACCCGTCTCTTTGAGCAAAAAAGGGAAAATTGGAACAAATTGCAAAATGAAGAGATATAATGATAAAAGAAAATCAAATCCGAACTTGATCAGACCATATAAAAAATTTCAATCACAGTGCTTGGGAATTTTAATCCCAAAACGTCAATCATCA